GATCCTCCCCAGCATCTTTTGGACTAGTGTGTTTGGAAAGGCACCTCATGGTAATATCAGGAGGTGTTGAACTTGTGTATCTATTTAGCCAGGAATAACACTGGGAAAGACTTCAGATGATGCTGAAGTCCCATGGAATAGCAGTAAGTTGGAAATATTCAACCAGGATAAGAGAAGAAATAAGACCATCCAAGAGAGGATTAAAACATCAAGCTGTGGTGAGGGGTCTGTGGATGCTGGGAGTAATGAAGAACAGGGKTTTTTTTTGCCTTATCCTTGCAACAAAAAGAGGAGGTGAAGGGTCTCAGATAAGAAAGAAAATGCTTTTGTGCCAAACAGCCTGTGGACCTGCGCTTTCCTTAGGCTGCTGAGTGAAATCATTTAGCAGGGTTACAAAAGGGCTGGCTAGCATGTGGGTGTTAATAGCATTTGCAGCTATGTAAGCAGCAGCAACAACAGCAGAGTAATCAAATCTCATCTTTCAGAAGGGAAGTTGATCACCTGAGTGTGTCTGGGATTTCCCCTTGCACCATTGCCAGGTACCTTCACAGGCTAATTGAAACGTGGAGTGCTGTCTGGGGCTGGGGGCATGGCAGTGGCTGCATGGATCTAATCKCTGAACACACAGAGCAGCTCTGGTCACACTCCTGCCCCGAGGCCTGATAGCTCCCTGGGTACTGCTGTCTCTTATCTTTGGCTGTGGCTTTCTGCTTTTCTTTTTTTTTTCCCCCTTTTTTTTTTCCTCTTTAACTGGGTTTCAAGTGCACTGCTCTTGCAGAGTCATAACTTGGGTGAGATCTCTCCATCTCCATTTGCAGCTTCCTTCACTGACTTTTAGCCTGAGAGCAGTAAAAAGCATGGCTGTGAAGAGGCAGACACGGCCCTCAGTCTTGACCAGACCTTAGGCAAGAATCATCTCCATCTTATTTTCTTTTGGTACAGCTTTTCTGTCTCTTAATGGTTGATTCACTGTGGGCCACTGGCTCCAGACTGGCTGCCTCTGGTGGGGTTTCTGCTGTAGGATGCAGCATCTGTCTCAACCTCCTCTTCAGCTTCTTTACCTTTTCTTTGTGTTTCCCTGCTCTATTTCCAGTAGGAAGCTCAAGTTCTGAGGGCTTCCCATCTTGAATCCAGAGGGGCAGCTGAGGGTTGGCCCTGTTGGGCATTTGGATCCTCAGTGCCAGCCAGCCTGATGGGAACAGGGAGAAAAAGGACCACTTTCCTCTGAAGAACCACCACCTTCATGTTTTAGGCAGTGACTGATCCCTGTGAGACAGGAACCTTGGACCATTGGGGTGCAGAAGTAACAAGAAAGATGCTTTGCTTGTAGAAAGGCAATCGTGGTAATGCCAAGGAGGGGACAGCAAGGTGTGGCAGCAAGGCTGGCTGAGGCTTTAGGCAAGCTGTGCCTGCTGTCAGTGTTGCCTTCCTTGGCAGTGTTTGAGGAAAAAAATAGCCTTGGAAAACAAGTGGTATGCTTGGGGAAGTGATGGGAAATGCTTTGGAAATGATGCCCAGAAGAGAGACTGTCAAGGAGCTGGCTGGTGCATGTGTCTGACAGGCTAATGGCAACAACTCCCGGCCCAACATCTTCCCCTGGCTTGGAGACGTGCTCTTCCCAAGACTTTGATTTCTGTCTTCATGGTTTTTTTGCCTTTTCCCATCCTAGCAAGAACCGGTTTTGTAGAGGGACCATCAAAGCTAATAAATAGTGCTGGCATTCCTCCTTAGTGATGCTGAAGTGTTTGCTGTGGTATTTTAGCTCTCGACTCCTGCTTTTTTTCCAGGTGTAGCCTTGTTGACTTTAAGTAGCCATCAAGAGAGTGCTCGAGCYGGTGAGCACTTGAGGACAGGCTGAACCTGTGGTGGATCACCTCACTCAGGTGCTCTGGAGACAGGGCAGTGGATGCAGCCTCAGGGCTCCCCTCTCCCGCTGCCCCACAGASGTGGATACCTGTAAGGCCATGTCTTGACTCATGTAACATGTGCTGGGGGGAAAACCTTGGTAAGCAGTCGGCCTTGGGAAGTGGTTCTGACTGCAGGAAACTGGAGGAGATCTGTCTTTCCTGTAGTTTCCTCCCTGTAGTGAGGAAAGCATGGCAAAACCAGGTCCTTCTCCACGGGTGTCCTGTGGAGACCCCCAGGGAAAAGCCAATCTTTTCAGAAGGATCTGGAGTGCCAAGAACTTTCTCTAAGGGGAGTGTTGATCCCATTATATTCTGAAAATCATTTCCTACCACGCTGGGGAATTGGCTTGCCAAAGCGCAAATTACCCAGCAAGGAAATCACTGCCTCCAGATTAATTCGTAGCTCCTTTGTCTGCTCTGTGCTTGGCTGATGTGTTAGGTAAATATTTGTTCAACACAGAGAATTGCCTCCCTTTCTTCTCTTTTCCAAGGGTCAAAGAAATGTCAGCCATTGGCACTTTTGTGCAGCCAGGTTTCTGTGCTTGCTGGGAGGCAGGCTCTGTGCCAGCCGTGGAGCAGCCAGAGCGGCTGGCTGTGCTGGCCAGCACCCCTTCCCAGAAGAGGCAAGTTACTGATGCTTCGTCCTGAGCTCATTCCACAGGGCACTGAAGTACTGAGTTTAACAGTGAAACCAAATAACCTCTCCCCTCTGCACARAAGAAAATAAACCTGCTTCTCTTGGTGTCGCCCCTCGGTGGATGTCCACGGGAGAACGGACTTTTGTTGCCTTTTTTTTTCCCCCCCTGAGTTCCTTGATTTGTCTCTAGCCAGCTGGGCTTCAGTGATCCTTGTGGGTTCCTTCCAGCTCAGAATATTCTGTGATTCTGACTCTATTATCTGAAAAAAAGCCTGCTGTCTTCTCCCACTAGAGAAGTATAAGGAGTATTAGTTTAAGGAGCCCTAAAGTAGCAAGTGCTCGACATGAACTACAAAAGCAGTTTCAACCCCATTCCAAGCGGGGCTGTGTGTCTGATTGCAGGACACTCACAAACTGGTTTCCGCTTCATTGCTCTGAAAAAGGGGGAAGCTCGCCAGTTACACATAAAATTATATAAGGACAAAGGAATTTCTCCTTTTCCCCATGACAGTCAGTACTGAAGCACAAGATGTGCTTAGCTACATTAATCAGTAGATTACTCACCCCGTATCTGAAAAATTTTCTTCAGGAGATAAATAGTGACCTTGATATTTTTAGTCATAAACTGAAACGTGTAACTTTGAATCAGCATCTGGGAGTGGCAAGATCTGGATCAGAAATTTGTGACTGTTCAGCATCTAACAGGCCCWGAATGAAACCCACACATACAAGCCAACACCCACATCAGGAAAGCGGGATACCCTAGTTGCCTCTGAGCCATGTCTCTCACTTGAATCTCTGACTACTTTCCTGTTTTTCACATTTCTTGCACTTTCTTTTTGTTAGTTGTCCCCTTTGAACAGCACACCATAGGAAACAGCTTCAACATCGTCACTTTCTGCTCATTTCTGCCAGACCCTGTGGGAACCAGGTTTGGGAACAAGGAATGACAGAATTTTTCAACCCTATTTGTAGTTGTGATAAATGGCTGAGAGCTTAACGCAGCTGTGGAGGGAGATCTGGCAAAGGGCTGTTTGTGAATTCTAGTTCCTGGGCTGGTTTGGGGTTTGCTTTGGCCTCTGTGTAGCCCAGAGATGTTTGGGGGATGATCTAAGCTATGTGGCTTATAAAAGTCCCTTCCAAATCAAATGGATGGAGCATGCTCCTRCCTAAGGCACWGTGAGTCTCCCATGCTKCTGGGCAAGGTGTAGGTTGGTGGGGTAGGTGAAGATGGCTATGCTGACTATGAAACAGCAAATGTTTCCCCATCAGTGGGCTGTTCTTCCCCTTCAGAGCATGTTCCTGCCACTTCTGGCTGTAGGAATAATACAGAAGGCTCAGACCATCCATCTAAACACTCAGAGCTGAAGCTGTCAGGATGGTTCCCTTTATATACCAAGGCAGCCAACTTCTTTGGACTTCCTGGAGCTTTGGGGATGACTTCCAATTCTAAAGGAAATGGGGAGAGAGGCTGGCTCCACTCCCTGTTGTGTGGGTATCGAGCTGGTCAGCCACCAGCCTGGGGGAAGCCAGGGCTGATGGAGATTTTGGCACTTGCCCCTCACACTGGGAGCTGTTGTGCGGCGTGGGCACAGCGCTGAGCTGCTGGCAGGCTGGTTAGTTGCTGACTATGTGCCAAAATGTTTATCAGATCTGAAAACCACATAGTGTGAGSCACTGTAGCATTGCTGAGAGGTCTGAGCTCTGCTCACCAGCGCTGTCTCTTTAGTAATGGGGGCAGCAACACAGTTGTGCTGCATCTTCTTGTCTTTGTCCCTGGAGGTCAGTGGGCTTTGGAAGGAAATCAGAGTTGATCCTGACTTCTGGATTGAGCAGAATGAGAGGGGAAGGGGGTTTCAAATGAAGTTGCTTTGAATCTGGAAGGTGACGTCACTTGAATAACAATGTCCTCGACTGCGTCACTGCCAATGTTTTAGGTGTTGCAGATGAGTGTCCATAATTTCCTTCAAGAAAAGAAAATTGAAGCTTTTATTGTGAAAATAGATGCATATAAGAGTAATATGCTTTTGAGGGTTAAATTAATTAGTAATCTAATTATTTAGATAATCAGTCCTGTTTTTCTCTGGTACTACTAGTTGATGAAAATTGATGTTCTTTAGTTTGACCACTCGGGTTATCTGAGTTATTTAAAAAGAAGTTCCCATTCCTGTGGTGATTAATGAAATCTCTGACATACATTTTACAACTATGATGAATCATTAATTTAAGTATTAAATTAATAAGAAGGAGGGAAGAGCTTTTACRGAAGATAAAGGCAATTCTCTCTGTGCCAGTCTGCCAGCTCCAAGTAACATAAACAGCGCCTGGTCTCTGCTGGACCATTTCAGAGTGTTAGAGATCTGTCAGCCTTGTAAAGACCAGTTTATTCTGGTGACTGCTGCAGTTTCTGTTTTTATCCTGTTCTCTTGACACCTCTTTCTGTTTCCTCTGCACAGGATATAAAAGCTGGAGAGAGCTTGCTAAGGTTCTGTCAGACACCAATGTTCCAGGTGGGGACCCAAGCCTTCAGCTTGACTATCCACAGRATTTGGGACACCAGGTGAGGAGGCTTGGGGTGCCTTCTGAACATTTAGGATGGGCCTTCCTTTCTGATGCTGGGTCCAGGAGACATTTCTCTCCTCACACGGGAAAGAGAGCATGCTACAGGGCAAAATCTGAGCTGACTCACAGCAATGTGAATGTACAATGACTCCACTGTAGTCAATTAAGTTATTTTAGGTGTGCTAAGCCGCAGCGGTGGGATGAAGCTGGCTGGGTTTGTGGCACAGGAAGGCAAGATAGAAGCAGAAGTGAAAGGTCAGGAAAGAGTTTGTTGCTCTCCAGTGAGGCACATCTCAGTACTGTTGACTGAAGGCAGTGCTGGAAGAACTATTGCTCAGACATTTTTGAAACACGGATGGGGGAAAAAAAACAAACTAGAGAATGACCTAAGTTATAACTCTGTGCTAGCAAGCAATTATGAAATACTGTCATCCTTTTCCCTCAGTAGTTCAGCATGGAAATATGCTGTCAAAAAAGCCAGGGAGCATTTCACCCTGTTATGTCCATGATAGCTGGGCTGTCCTTTGGAGCTTGAGAATTTGTTTTATTTTTTCATATATTCTTGTGACCATGTTTGAGCCCTCTGGTAGAGCTTGTATAGAACTCTCCTGTACATGTCAGTGCCATGTAATTTATCAGGCTATTTTGACTTTCCTCTGCTTGTATTTCAGATCCAAGAAGTGCAAAGAAGTGCGAGGAATAAATCGAATTATGCAGCTGTGGACAATCCTGTCCCATGGATGCCAGAGGTAGGTGCCTTTCTCCATCATTTTGTGTGAATGGGGTTACAGTTAGAGACCTGTACAGCAAAAATGAAAGGCAGGGACCTTTGCCTGGAAACTAATTCACTTTACTAGAAGTCCATTCCCTATCACCTTCTCCCTGGTTAATGACACTTACAGACCTGAGTAATCATCTCGAAGGACTGGAGTGTCCAGATTCCAGATAATTTGGTGTTTCCACCRGTCATTAAGGCACCAAGCACCCTCCCACAATTGCCTGAGAGCAGGCAGCCCACTACCTTCCTGAAAAGAGAAGTTTATTCAGGGCTGGGGTGAGGCCCAAGMATTCAAGAAGCAAATACGTGACTATGGCACACAGTAGTGTCACACTCTGCTCTTGTTCTGGCTTTTGCCATCCCACCCCTGCATGTCATAYGTGGAGATTTCTCCACTTCAGTGGCACTTCCATGAACAGAGACCCTCTCTGGTGACCCTTGCAGACTGGGGTAAACACTCCTTTTGCTTCCTTCATGGCTCAATTATTCTTTCCTCCCCTGTTCCCTTATCTCATCATTCCTCTCCAGATAAGGGAGCAATGCAGACTGCTTCTAATGAGAGGGACACCAGCCGGGGGRCATTTAGTTAATGGAGCCAGCTCAYGAAATTCCTCAAGGTGATTAGAGACCTGTACAAATTAAAGGGCCTCTGTGGCTCTGCTGGGGAGCGAGCAGGCTGCGGGGTGTGCACTCAGGACTGCAGATCTCACTGSTGATAGAGGGAGAGTGTATCCATCCAGCCATAGCAAGGAGCAGTTCATGTCCCTGCAGCTTGAGCCATGGCTTTCCTGGAAGCAGCCAGCACCAGTCCCCATCCAGTGCCCAGAACCAGRGCAGACCACTGATCTGTTCTGCATCTGAGCATCAGCTCTGCTGTGCTGATTCCTGCTGGAGCCTGGGCTCTTCCTCCAGCTGCAGGGCTGTGCAGGCAGGGCCACCTTCCAGATGAGCAGCTGCTGGCCAAGAGCAGGGCTGCTGCTGTGTCCAGGCATGACCGAGCATTTGCTGCTTCCCTCTCCCACAGCACTGGGCAACACAGGCTCTGCATGGCATCCCCCAGCTTCTCTGAGGCTTTGCCCTGTGTCTCTGTTCCCCTCCCTGGAGATTTCTCAAAAGCATGTGAATCTTTGCCAGCTGTGGTGTGCAATGAGCCTTTACTGGTCAGAGGTGCAGGTGCTGAGGTGCACACTGTGGCCTGGATGCTTTTCTCTTTGGCTTTATAAGACAGAATTTCCTGGCCTTGCTGCAGCACTGTCTGTACCCAGTACAGGGTCCCCTTGACTGCACACACAGGCCAGTGGTTTAGCAGTACCAGCTGCAGGACAYAGAGAGAAATCCCCGTACACAGCTCTGTACAGAGCTGCTTGCTGYCCTCTTAACCACCAACTGCAATTTCTCTCAGCCTGGGGATTAAGTTTTTCAGTGACTCTGCCCAAATTAATTACCCAGGGTCTATAATCCCATTGTGCCCTTCCCACAGCATCGCTAATAACTTAATTGCAGCCTGATTCCTGGGGCGAGGGACACCATGTTGCCTCACACAGGTCAGGGAGCTGGGCTTTGTTTGAATAGAGAGGCATATTCCTGACAAACATAAATAATTAACYGGGTTGCAGGGTGAGCTGGCACCCAGCATTGCCAGAATAGGACAGGTTTCAATTTTCCTCTCTCAGTTTCAGGATATGGGATAGGCAGCTTAAGTCWTCAACTTTGGATAATGTGGGTGGGAAAGTGTGCTCATTGGAAATCCCTAACTGAAGTTTTGCTGTGGCATCTGGGGGAGAGCAGGGTTCAGCCTTGCTCCTGGTTCCTCAAGGTGTCCATGCACATGATGATCCCTTTCCTTACTGTCTCTTCCAGAGCAAAGTCTTCCAGCTCCCAACATCACCCACTGCCTCCTCAGGCTGGGGAGATGTAGGGTATTTTGTTTCATCAATTTAGAAACGTGCCTGGCTATCATCAGGGTGAACCTGCACAGTGGGAACATGAATGTCACCATTTGACACTGCTGTAGGCGTGGGGGAGGATTTTCAGAAGAGTGACTGGTTAGCAGGATTGTTCTCATTTGCTTCTGCAAAAACACCTGCTCAGCTCTGAGAGGAGAAAGGTTTGGGCAGTGCTGGGGTGCATTTAAAACATCCTTTGCTCCTTGATGTCTGCACAGCCTCAGGATGTTGTTCTCTCTGAAGGGAAGTTTGAGGGATGTCCAGGAGCACAGCCCATGCAGGCAGTACCTGTGTAATTGCATAGGTGCTGCAGAAACCAAAGGATTGTGCTGGAGTGCTGTCCTCCAGTGCTGCCCTAGGAGKAAGCATCCTTTCCTGAGAGGATGGAAAGCAAAAGTGATTCCTGCTMGCTCTGTCTCTCCCCATGTCCCTTCCTTGTCTACTCGTGCCCGTGTAGACAGGGGGGCTGTGTTGCTGACTTGTCTTGATGGATTCCCACAAGTGCCCAGCACAGCAGAGCGTGCAGCCAAGCCCAGCTGCTGGCTGCTGAATGTCACCCAGTCAGGAGAGCAGGGCCAGGCAGGAGGAGGGGCTGCAGCCACTCTTAGGAGACAGAAGAGTCTTATAAACTCAGGAGTTTCGAGTTGGCAGCACAATGTCGCCTTTCTTCCCTGGCTCAGGCCCTCTCTGTGCCCTGTTTATCATTCCCTGGGCTGTGTGCAGCTACGCAGCTGATTTGCCTCTGTGATGCCAAAGCCGCGTGGGATTAAATTAGGAAAGYCTTCTCTTCTCCATCCTGCTCCAGTTACAGGGCAGGAGGTCATGTCTCTGCTGCTGCAATCCTCTCAGTTTTGCAGCTTGCCCTGATCTTTCTTCCCTTCCTCCTTGCCGACCTCCCTGGGTGTATGGTGCCACCCCCAGATAGTTTTGGCATGACAGGTTTTGGGCTAGGAAGAGRTCTGGGCTCTCTGTGTTCTTGATCYTTCTCTGTGGTCTGTTTTTRTAGCAGGGGCTGATAATCTAACATTTCTCACTWGGARGAAGTGGAAATAYCAAAGTCTTTTACTGCAAAGACAGGGTTGCAGGCAGACATTTCAGCATGCTCAGTGGGAAGGGTCAGTGCTGGGAAGGATGGGATGAGCCACGGTCCCCCAGCCCTGGAGGGGCATCAGTGCCAAAGCAAGGGCTTGGCCCAGCTCTCCCCTCCCTGCACTTGCAAGGGACAACACTGTCACTGTGCCTGTGGTGCTGTGCTCAGGAGGGTGTCAGCCTGTCTGGCCCTCTTCACGGAGAAGAACTCCTGTACTGGGCTCCAGGGCACACTCACACTGTGCTGACAGTGCCCTTGGTGTGTGACCTGTGCCTTGTCTGGGTCTCAGCTGGGATCCTCCACTGCTGCTATTTCAGCAGGGTGTTAAGCTACTGGGGAGAGGTGTTGGGACAGGCAGAAAGCTGAGGGTAGGAGCTTCTAAATGGGAAGGCACAGATCACCTAAAACCAGTTACCACTGGAATCTCAGACTCGTGTCTTCTATTCCTGGTTCTGGCCAAATCAGTCTATTCAGAATTCTCACAGCAGATGTTAAGGTGAGAAGGGGAACTTAACTTGTTGCTTGCTAGGTCCTAAATGTCCAGCCCTTTGCAAAACAGGGCCAGGTAGTTCCAARCTGGGAAGTCAAACATAGTAACCATGTTTCAGAATAATTTTTWAAAAARCATGTTTTAGAAAATCCATTGACGTTTCTGTGTGCATGAATTGGGAATGGTGGTGATGTTGATCTATAACTGCAGTGTGCAAAAGCCCCAAGTAGGATATTTTTCTGACATGATCCATGAGAGGATACTTGTATAGCAAGCAGAGGAATTTCTCAGCTGCCTGTAATGGGCAGCCATGAATTGAGTTAGAGGGAAAGAGGTGATAGAGTTTCAAAACAGCTGCTACACTGATGGCTYATGGGGGCCTAAAATTAAAGCCTAGCTCAGTTTTCAGTCCCAAAGCAGCWCTTTGGGCAGCCAGCACTTATCTGYCAATAATGTTCTTATTTTCCCTTTAAGAGGAAGCAAAAAGTGAGTTAAGCAATTGTAACTCAGGAGAAAATCTGTTGATTTAGAAAAGATTCTAAAATCGCRTGCAAGAAATGCTTGTTATTTACCAGTTAATTATTTCTAGGGCTTTGAGTGCAGGAAAGCAAAGTGATCTCATTAACTCTCCTCTCAGGAGGCTTTATAAAGACTTTGGATGCAGGAGTGTTGGATCAAATAACTCAGGAACCATCTCTTTTAGTACTGATGGTGCACCTTGTGCAGTGGTATCTGCCTTACTTTTTAGTAGTCTGCCCTCTCACTAATCCTGCCAAACTGTGCAGTAAAGTGTTGTATTGCAATGGGACTGGSCTAAGTTTTTCTCTGCAAACATTTRAGCAAGTTTAGCCAGTCTTTTGGAATTTCCCTCACAAATATCTGGTTTTGCATTTGGGTTACCCCATGTCAGAGCCAGCCCAGCTTTCTTGCAGTCCCGAGCTTTGGGAGCATCCCCTGGTCTGTCTTTGTCAGGAGCGGACTGCAATGCCAGCCTGTCCACGGTGTGGGAGTGTTGTGCTACATTTGATGGAGCTCTGAGCCTGCTCTCTGCCGTGTGTGAGCAGTTATCTGAAAAGAAGCAGCAGCATTATTTGTGGATAGCAGCAGACTTTTTCAGAACTCAGTTTCTGGCAGTGACTCCCTGTGGGAGCCCAGCCTGTTCCTCTCACTTCATGTTCCACAAGAAACAGCAGTTGTCATTGTTTGATTTGGCTGAGAAAAGCAGTGTAAGACCATTGGGTGGGAACCTGGATTTGGCCAAGGGGCACGGGACTGCAGAGCAATTAAAYTGCAGTTCTGTGTTTGTCACACAGTGATTTATTTGTATCGCAAGTTCCTGCAGAGTCCCGACTTTCTCTTGGCTGCATCCATCGCCCTGAGCCCTGTCTGTCTCCACTCTGATTTTGTGCATTGCTCTGAGGAATTACATCYACTTTGTCTCGCTGCTTTTCCTCTTGTCAGAATCTAGGCTGAGGGAATTCAGCAGAGGAGGGAAGAGGAGGAGATGTTGGTGGGGGAACATTGTGGGCTTGCACACATCCATCAAGCCCTGGCAGTGAGGACACCARTGAGAGAGGGCTGATGAGAAACCACTCCAGAACAGCAGTGGTTTTGAATGTGCTTTGCCTGGCAGGCAGAAATGGCTTTCACATGCACGACTAAAGTCCACAGCTGGCAAGGAGCATTACTGGTGCAGAGCCAAATCTGCTTCATGGCTTTCCTTCAAGCCAAGTTTATTTCAAAAACACACCCCCAACCCACCATCCTGGGGAAAATAACTCTGTGAAGAAGTTTCTCTGCCAGGAGTGCACGGAGAGGTTGGACCCTCCTCCACTGCGCTACTTCAGTCCTGCTAGAGTCTCCCCAGCAAAAACTTAGAATTTGCTGCCATCTGTAGACATTCGGGTGCTGTTCAGGCCGTTTCCCCAGCCCTGCTCCCACAGCCCTTATATAGGCAAGACAGCCACAGCACAACCTCCCCGGTCCCAAGGCAACCTATTCCTTTCTTCAGCATTTTGCCATCTAAGGTAGCCTGTACTGTCTCTGGCTTATTTATTCTTCACTGTTGGATGCCAGTCCYGTGAGGAGGTTTTCAGCATCTGGCTCCACTGTTTGCAGGCAGAAAGCTTGGACTTTGTTGAGGGACAGACAGTGATTCTCTTCTGAACGGCTCTGACAAAAATTATGTCTGTCCTTTGAGGAGTGTGTTGCTGAAGTCCCACAGTGGCCAGCAAGCTTTTCCCAGCACAGCTGTGCTCCAGGTCTCAGCTGGACAATGACAACTTGTCCTGACAGGGCTGGCTGTGTAGTGGGGACCTGTAGTCACACTGCACACCCTCCTGTGCTGTCTGGGATGGAACCCCCGCTTCCCCCAGTGCTTCTATGTCTCTGCAGGCACATGGAGCCCATGCTGCCTGCTGACCTGCCTGTGCTGCTGCTCCCCACCCTGATGGGGCTCCATTTCCCTGTCCCCACTGTCCTCTGTGAGCTTTACCTCTAAGACCTTTTCTGAGAGGGTGATCTGCCATCTCCTGTCCCTAGGGAATCCCCTCTTCCTCAGGTCAGGAAAAAAGCCCTGAGATGGTGAGGGAGTCCAAAACACTTTCTTGGAGAACATCAGACATTGCATCATGGGGRGCTGTTGCCACCCTGCAGTGTTTTCCAGACCATGACCTCAGAGCACGGCCCTCTGCTTAAACCCCTCCATGATGGAGTGAACCCCAGCCACTGAGATGTCTGAGTGACTGAGATGTCCCAAGCATTGGCACAGTTCCCTGGTGCCATTCAGTCATGTGGGCGAGTCCCTCACCCTCAGCAGGTGAGAAGGAGGGCTCTGCACCCATATCTGCTGCAGGCCAGTCCATCGTAGCAGAGGAAGATTCCTTCACTCTCACATGCTCTCCAGTACTGGGGCCATGTCCAAGGCTGGGGAGGGACATACGGGATGGATGCAACAGTTCATGATGTCCCCCTTCTGCCTTCTAGTTCCAGGGCCAGGCCAATCTACACGTTTTTGAGGACTGGTGTGGCARCTCCATTGAGCAGCTCAGGAGAAACCTCCACTTCCCCCTCTTCCCTCACGTGAGTAAGACCATGGCGTGCACTGTCCTGCGCTTCTCCAGCTTCCCCGGTGGAATATCCCTGCTCCCTTCACGTCCTGTTGCTATCTCCCTCTGTCCTGCTGTTTGTGAAAATCCACCACCTCCCTCTCCACCACCTCTTCTGTCCTCCTGCTGAGGGAGCAGGAAGCTTTCACAAGGGTTCAAGGGCAGCAGCTCTTCCGCTGCACGGGGGAGGCTCATTTCACACATGCTGGCCTGCCAGAGCTCAGACAGGCTGAAGGAGCCCTGTTTGGTKCTCTCCTCCCAAGTGGCTAGGGAATGCCACATCCTGTCCCCACCATCTCAGTGGCATCCCCCATGCAGCTTTTCCCTCCCTYACTTCTTATTTGGTCTGCTCTTTCCCTCTGCCTCCATCACATCCCACACCCCATCCTCCTCTCAGAGAAAACCTCATTCTTCCCTCTGCCCACCTGCCCCAGAGTTTTTCATTTTCTCCTTCTTTCTGTCACATCTAAAATTATTTTTATCATTTTTTCTTCTTCCCTTCAGACAAGAACTACGCTGAAGAAGTTGGCTGTGTCCCCAAAATGGACCAATTAYGGTCTCCGGATATTTGGCTACCTGCATCCTTTCACCAGTGGTGAGGGTTCTGAGTGCCTTTGCTTATGTCTCTTGTCACCTTTCCTGTCCTCCCCTCCTGGTGCTGAACCACTGGTACCCTCAGCCTGGCAAGCCCAACACCAGGTCCCTCAAGTGGGTGGCATGCGTGACTGACYGTGGCCTCGGCGTGGCTGGGGACACATCTGCCTCCCTTGTAGGGTGGAATGGAAAAGCACAGAAGAAAGCAGAAGGGAAGTGCTAGATAAATAACAATGCTGTTGTGAATGCACAGCCCCACRAACAATCCCTTAGCTTTTCCTCCCTCCCTCGCATGGCCAGGACTGTACATGACATCACTGATGTCCCGGCTGCTCCCCGGGTGCATGAATGCCATCTGACAGCAGCTGACATCTGTATCCCCCAGCTGCACGCCTCTGCCCCGAGCAGCCTGCTGGCACTCACCCTCTGTCACGGGCCCTGGCCTGCAGCTGCCATCCCCGTGACCCTGGACAAAGAGTGAGCCTCAAGCACCTCTGTCTCCCTCTGTGGCTCCATGTGCACATTCCTCCATCCAAACAGAGTCTCACACCAAAATTTGCTCTGGAAACAACAGGGTTGTCAAGGGAGACTTTGTATAGACTTCTTAGCTTTCCAGGTCAGGTGAAGCCAGTGCRGGAGGGATAGTTAATCTGTCACATCTGTAAAGTTTGTTTTCAGTCACAGCAAAGTTAAGAGAATTCAGAAAGGTTCAAAGGGGTGAAGGTTGTAATATCAAAAGGGAAGGTATGATCTCACCAAGAAAAAGGGCAAAGACAGCATTTTAGAGGAGCAGGATCTTTTCTGTGCACAAGCCCTTACCCCAAAGCCCTACTTACTCCCTCCATCTCTCAACAGGGGAGTTTCAGTTTGCCATTGCTGCGGATGACAATGCTGAGTTCTGGCTGAGTCCAGATGAAAAGCCCTCTGGTCTCCAGCTGCTGGCCAGTGTAGGCAAGGTACAGTGCACGCTGCACAKCTTCTCCCATCGAGGCTTTAATGTTTCTGTGGGAACAGAGACCTTCCTGGCTTACTGCTTCCTTGGACTACCTGTTCCTCTCCCTGCCCAACTCCAGACAGCATCAGTACAGATGCCAGACGGGTATGGCATGTGATACCTTAARCCAGTTACATATTGGTAGTGCTATTGAGAGTCCTTTGTTCAGTTAAGGGACTTAAATCTGTCCACAGCGGATGGGTTTCACAGATGGCTTAACAAGAATTGGAGGGAAGAGGGAGCTCAGTTTTCCCTTTTTGTCATTGTCAGTGCAGTAAGAAGGGAAGAAATCATCTTAACTAGAACTATCTTCTGTCTCTTCACAGACAGGGAAGGAGTGGACTGCACCAGGAGAATTTGGGAAATTTCACAGCCAGAAGTCAAACATGGTGAGGTGAGTGAGCGAAATCCCTCACTCCCAGCCACCTCTGCACATGGCCAGGAAGTCACGAGGACAAGGAAAATGCACCCAGGCTTGTCCTGAAGAATTTAGCAACACAGAGAAAGGGATTACTCTGGGGTATTGCCAAAGCTTTGCTGATTTACTGCAGGAATGCAACACTGGATTTTTCTTCCCTGGAGCAATCARCCACCAGCACATCCAGACTCCTCTATATGAACTATATCCCGAGCTTCCTGCCTTGGAACTGGCCAGATTTCCCAGAAGCCAAAACCCAGCAGGAAAGACTGAAAGGGAGTTGTTCAGAATTAACTGAGAAGGGTCTGGAGTGCTTCAGGTGCACAAGGGGAGCTACTTACTTCAGTGTCAGCATCTGGATTTTCTTGACAGCCCTCACCCTGCTTACCCTGAGAATTATTTTGTTTCRTGGGTGTGGTTGCTCTCCACTCACTGTCTGCTGACAAGCTGAGAAATGCTCCTAATGCTCCTGGTGACAGACACCTTGTTCTYCACAGGTTGTCAGCGACAGGCAGGTACTACTTTGAGGTGCTGCACAAGCAGGATGACAGAGGAACAGACCATGTGGAAGTGGCAGTGAGTCTGTGCAAATGGTGRTGCTGTACATGTGTCCCCACGGAGTTCGGGAATTACGTTTGTGACATTCCCCTCTTTTCCCAGGCCACAGATCCTCATTGCATGAGATGTAGCTAATCCCTTCCAGAGCCCTTACCTACTKCTGTGTGGGATGGTGCTGGCCATGTGTCAGGACCCCTTCCTCTGCTAGCTTGGGAGAGATCTGCCTTCTCTGGCCTTTCCTGTTTTGGATGTGTCCTGGGGGAATCTCAGCTCATTCCCAGTCTCTTTCTGCTAGGTAAATTTTGTCCTAGTCGGGRGAAGGAGGAAGCTGCGAGCCCATTTGGTGAAAAAAAACCATCTTGTGTATTCCGCTGGTTAACTCCAAAAGCACTTCATTTTAATGTGTTTCTYTGTTCCAGTGGAGACTGAATGACCCAGAAGCAAAGTTCAAAATCATTGACTCCCAGTATCTCTCCCTTTTTGCTAGTAAGTATCTTCATCACAAGTTTTCCCAAGCACCTCCCCATTCTTCCTAAATGTATCAGCATCCACAGTGTTTCGCCATGAATCATAGTCTAGCCAGGCAAATACCAGGCATACACATCATTAAGAGAAAAAGGTGGAGACAATTCAGGAGAAAGACTCCTGGACAAGGATRTGACTCATTATTAAACATAGGAGAATCGGAAGTAAGATTGGAACATTATTTCAGAGAAGTGYAGGGGTAGTGAGAAAGGACAGAGAGGAGAGTCTGCAAAAGTGAGAAGTGTTCTAGATGAACATCCTGTGAGAGTAACACAGGATGGAGTTTGCTTGCCAAGAGCAAGGGGAAACAGGAATGCCATGATGTGGGAGCTGTGGGGGTGTGCTGCCAACTGGACGTGACCAGGGAGAAGGGGCTGCTCTAGCACTTTTGGAGATTCCACTCTGGGTCCTGAACACAGCAGCATACACTGGCAATGCTGGGGGATGTTGCTTTCTTCTGTACCAGCCTCAAGTCCCTTCGAGTTGGTGCTGGATTGCTGCAAACACATCAGTCCAGTCCTTCCTGTTTTGTAAGCCTCTCTTAGCKCATTAAGTGATGCCTTTATCAGTTAAGAAGCTCCTTAGCCCTGTTTACTCTTACCTGGCTTTGTCAGCATCACTTTTCTCTGCCAGCATTCCCCCTTTCCATATCTACTGCTGTTGCCTTCCAATATTTCTGGGCTTTTTTCCATGCCAGCCCTTTTTTTCATGAAAGACTCCCTGATATAATCAAGATGTCTGTTTGCTGTGTCTTGGATTGCAAYCTGCTGCTGTATTTTCTGAAACCGCCATTTGGCCAGGATTAGGCTTTCCATTAAGTCTTCCATCTTCATTCTTTTTCCTTCTGCTCTTTTCTTCTTATTAATTCCCTGTAGAGTAGAAGACTACATTCCCTGTAGAATAGATCCCAGAAGATCTCTCTGTGATTAGGTACAGTGCTGCAGTCTCATTTTTATCTGTCACTTACTGCCCATAATTTTTCCCTCTTTCCAGCCTTTGGCTGGATGCCATGACTTTCTGGGTTCCCATGTAGTTCAGTACCCAAAAGTTGGACACCAGTGCCCTTGGCAGGATATTACTTTTTCCTCATGGGTATTTATTCAATTTCACTCATTTTAGAGTAGGATCCATGGAGACATGAAGTCGTCTGACAACAGCATCCAAGAAAAAAAATCTAACCAATACCCAGTCTTGAGTGTGATCTWCCTGTTGCTCCTGGCTTACTGTGGGACATCATTCCCCTTCTGGAGTAACATTCTCCTCAGTCACTGAAGATCTTGCCCCAAGGTCTTGATCCTTTTCCAGCATAGGCAAAAGCTCCACTCCTCAGATTTCTCCTCCCATTCATCTTTCTTTACCTCCTTTTAAAAGAAACTTAATACTAATAATACAGAGGTGTCCAGCAGTTCCTGGCAGCATGGGGCCTATTCAGCATACCAATGCTGGTGTGTTCAAAGCAGGAGGTCATTTTCCTCCATTACTCATCCCTGTGTGTGTTTGCTTTCAGTGATAGCCATGTTCCCACCCCACAGYTTCTAGATCTCCAGCTTTCTGGGTCAGAGCCTTTCCTTTGCCTGCGACAGAGRCAGCGTTAGTGCAGTGGATGTGATGCCATTTGGAAAGGGCTGACATTGGAGAGAGGTGCTTCTYGGGACAAGGGACAAATTAGCCCTTCCCTCCCCCTTGTGTTCTCTCTCTGGTTTCTAGACGAGACRCTTTTAAAGATGGATGAGGTTGGGCACATCCCACAGACGTTGGCCAGTGGCAGGAGCCCTGCTGACAGCACAGGCAGCAGGGCACACCCAGCTGACATGTTGAAGCCTGACCCCCGGGACACTCTTTACAAAGGTAAGACTTGCAAAGCAGCTGAGGAGGGAACTGCAGCCTGTGCAGGAGCATGGCTGGGAAAGATTGTCCTCCTACACTGCAGTTACCAAGGCCATGATTTTTTATCCCTGCTGCAGAAAAGAGGGGCAGCTACACTATCATTCACCACAGGAGACACAGTACAGACTAAAGTCAGATACTCTTTCTTGGTATCCAGCTCACACAACATCCCCAAGCATATTTTTGTATAAGTGCCTTAAAGGAATGTAGAGAGATGAGATGTGCAAGAAGGTTTATTTAATCTAGTTCTTAATATTTCACGTGGATAAGTAGAACCCAGGGACACAAGTTGGTCCATAGCTGGTGCATGGGTTGCAGCAGGGCTCCTCCTGCAACTCTTCCCTGTGTTCCTTCTTCCCAGTGCCTCTGCTCAGCAAGGCTCGTGTGCACCGAGCCCTGCCAGACTGCCCCTACAAGCCCAGCTACCTGGTGAATGGATTTCCTCTGCAGCGCTACCAGGGACTCCAGTTTGTAAGTTTTATTTCTTAAGGAGGTACTTGCCCAGGGACACATAAGGGGGAAGGAGAGAGATCCCATTGGGGCCTGACTACTTGCCCAGGGACACACAAGGCGGAAGGAGAGAGATCCCATTAGCCACGAGGCCTGACCTTGCCTTCACATGGAGTCTCACAATGGCTGAGGATTTAGTTTTCCATGGGGTGGACTGTAGTATGTGTGGATTACTAAAGCCCCAGACATCTCTTCATGAGGACTTGACCATCTCTCTCCCACTTTGTTCTCACTCTSTTGTACAACTTAAGCTCACAGTTAGAGAGGTGGGCAGATGCTGAGAGAGAGGAAAAAGCACGTCCAYACACATATCCTGGCATGCTTCCTTCAGTTTTCCATTGTCACAGCCTGCTGCTGGAGAGGCAAAGAGTGAGTGAACTCTTGTTCCCTCTGAAGAGGGCTGGTTGCCCTGCAACTGTGTGTCTGGGTCATCTTGTGACTGATGTCTGGCATTTATGAGGGTTTTGCTTTGTCTTTCACCCTTCTTCACAGGTTCATTTATCCTTTGTTTACCCAAATGATTACAGTCGCCTGAGCCACATGGAGAAAGACAACAAATGCTTCTACCAGGAAAACCCTTATTATTTGGAAAGGTAGGATGCTGTAAATGTGGRTTTACTAGCAGGGTGGGGAGGAGTTTGAAGGCTGGAATGGGTGTGTAATTTCATGCTCACTTCTGTAGGACTCTCTTAATTCTTAAAGATCCCCTAAGCCTTGCAAAACATTAAAGCTTTTATAGTTTCTTTTGATAACTTAAGTGAAAATACATTTTGGTCTCAAGGGGAAATTACCAGCTCYTTTCTTGCACTGTTAACCCAGTAACTGAGTCAGAGMATGTTTGTTCTCCTACATCAGGGAGTGTATTCCCAGCAAGCTTGGCCTGCCAGTGGATGAAGCCTCCTGATAGCTGTCACTGTGAAAGCCAAACTGTGATCACCACCAGGCCTGTTTGGGGCAAGAAATGCATGTCACTCATCTTCACTGATGCCCAGATCCCAGTGGTGGCCCCACAAGGGAACCATTACTTGCATGTTCCCTCCCTGCAACAGTCAGACACATTGTTCAAGGACTTCCTTCCATTCAGGAGGACTTTTATGCAGGATCAAGAAAGTCACATTCCCAGTGAGATAACTGATGATAGCCTCCCTATTCTCATGGTATTCTTCCTCCTTCCAGGAAAAGGCAAAGCAATTTGCATTAAAYTTGTATTTTGTTCTTCCCTTTGCAGATTTGGATTTTACAAGTACATGAAAATGGATCGGCCAGAGAAGAGCCTGGACTCTGGAGAAAAGACAGAACAGCCAGGTAGGGGCCCTAATGTCAGAACCCAGAGGATCCTTTCATCTGTCACTTTTGTGTGTGGTCTTGCAGCACCAGGTGAAAGAAGCTGTTGACTTTCCATACCAAGGAAGTCGCAGCCTTTCCCTGRCAGATTGCTGTGTCTGGGAGGAGACTTTTGCTGCCACTTTTACTTCTCTTAAGGGCAATTTGGGAGGTCACCAAGCAGTGGGCTGAAGTATACAATGTGACAATTAACTCTTGGGCCCACAGCTTATCTGAGGTGCAGTTCTAGCAAAAATATTAGCAGTGGCAACACAGCCAGAGGTGTGCAGTGTGGCAGCCTGTGCTCACACCTCCCTGCAGAGCTGTGGCCAGACTGAAGGCAAAGCCAGGCAGCTCCACAGTCTTTGACAGTGGTTGTTGATGGGTGCTGAAGAGTTTGGTACCAGCACGGGCACAGCTCCAGTGTGAGAGCACCCCTGTCCCTCTGAGCAGGGGAGGCAGCAGAGAGGAGGAGAGAAGTAGCTGCTGCCTGTCTGGTGGGTGCTGAGTCAGGGCTGGGAAGGCAGTGGGAGGATGCTGGAGGTGTAACTTGGATTCATCCTGCAGGCTCCCAGGAGGGGAACCTGGATGACGTGCAGTATGAGGAGCAGGATGTGGAAAGCACAAATGCCCCCGAGCACCCTGGCATGGGGAGGGCAGCAGGCAATGTCCCCAGCAGCGTGTTGGGCAGTGACAATATTCACGATGACTATTCCCTCCGGGAGCGTCGTCGGCTCCTCTCGGTGATGGGTGGCAACGCAGGAGAGGAGACACGGAGGAGAAGGACAAAAAGGTCTGGTGTCAAATCAGCCATGCTGGCCTCTACCAACCAAAGCCTCAGCCTGACTGGCCTGGAGGGAAACYCAGTAACAAAGAGACCCCGTATAAAAGCTGGCGTCAAAGACAATTCCAGGAGCCCTCCSCAGCATGCCAGGGCCATCCAGGGGAGAGTGCCTGTCAGAAGGGCAAACCCTCCTGCTGGGACTCTGTCTCTTGGCCACCCAAGGGACTCAGGGGTCGCAATTCCCAAAGTGTGGAGACCTCGAGGGAATCTCAGCACCACTAAGGACAGGCTGCGGCCAGCAGGCACCGTGCCAGCTGGGAAAGGAGGCCCAGTTTCTGGCAAAGCTGGGAGACATGTGGTGGGCACTGCCAGCCCCAGCCAGCAGCCTGGGCTGCCACAGTGGCTGAGCCAAGTGGAGTCCTACATTGCTGGGCAGAAAGTGCCTAACAATGGCCATGTGGGCGAAGGAGGGGCACAGGTGGCATCTCCTGTGAAGGGCAAGTCTGGAGGGGCAGCAGAAGAGGAAGAGGAAGAGGCAGATGGGGAGCCAGAGGAGGAAGATGAGGAGGATTTCGATTACGTGCCGGTGTTTGACCAGGCAGTCAAYTGGGAGCAGACCTTCAGCATGAGCAACCTGGACTTCCACATGCTGCGCACAGATTGGATTGACCTGAAATGCAACACCTCGGGAAATCTGCTGCTAAGAGAAAGGGAGGCCCTGGAAGTTACACGKGTCTTCCTGAGGAAGCTCAACCAGAGGAGTAAAGGGTAAGGCACGGTGAGAAAATCAAGGGGCATTGTCCCAGAGTTGGTTTACCAYGCTGCACAGGGAATTCCTGTCATGTGAATAACTGGTGAGAATCAGGGGATATAGTGGRTGTGATAAATAAGATTTTGGGCAAGGAATCTGTGTAAAACACTGGACTATAAACACACCTCTTTTGCCTGAGAAATGGTACCAGCTTTTGCTGGTRCTCTTTTTTAACATGGTCTTGGTATGGTTCTTCTTTTTCTCAAAACTTACCATCCCTTCTGACAAACAGRCACACTTCCTCTGATCCTCCATAAGCTAAACAATCCAACTCGTGACCTTTCTGTTGGGCTGTCCTTAATTTTTATAATTTTCTTACCAGACTTTTTTTGTGCAGGTTTCRGTTGCAGTTAATCTCCCTGTACATAAGTGACCAGAATCCTGKATGCTTTATGGAGTGGGTGTTACTAGTTTCTAATCCCTGCTGGAAGTAGGCCTAATGCTACATATTAAGATCACATTTGCTTTTTCAGGGTCACATCAGTCACAGTCAGGTGTAACTGATCAGCACACACAAGCTTTTCTCAGGATTTTTAACTGACAAACATCTATTTTATAGCAGATACTCTTGTTATGATCTGAAAAGGCATGACTTGGCATTTCATCCAGCTTTGGCCATTCTGAATCTACAGCTTGTGCCAGTTTTTACCATATGATTGCTCAGTTTTTCTCCATAYTCTTGTTTGATAAGCTGTCATGAGMYGGTTTCAGTAGCCCAAACACAYTCCTTGTGCCAAGATCGTTGTAGGTGGTGTTGAAAACACTCACTATTACCAGCCCTTCACAATCATTCAGACACATTTGTTATTTTCTGTGTCACCTTTATTTCATTTCTCTTGCCAAATACTTTCCCTTGGCTGGAACCCCAGGTYTAATCCCACATGCTTGTGGATTTAGGAGAAACAGGTGCTAAACATTCCCATGGGACTTTGGAAGTGGTGCAGCGAAGCGGGGCGAAGCTGGGGACAAAAAAGCTTGTGCTGGCCTGAAGGAAGGAGGGCTGGAGGTGGGAGAGGGGCTGCTGTGCAGGACATGTGCCCATTCCAGCTGTGTCTCCTGCAGGCGCTTCCAGCTGCAGCGCATTGTGAATGTGGAGAAACGCCAGGACCGCATGCGGGGCAGCCGCTACCTGCTGGAGCTGGAGCTGCTGGAGCAGGGCGGGCGCCTCGTCCGCTTCTCCGAGTACGTCTTTGCTCCGGGCTGGCAGGGCGTCGGTGGCGATGAGGAGGACGAGAGGAGGATGAGGAACCTGGCRTGGGGCCGCCGGCGGCACCTGATGGCTGCAGCCAATGAGCCAGAGCTGTGCTGGCCCCAGGGGTTTTCCTGGAACCACCAGGCCGTGGTTCACTTCGTGGTGCCAGGTAAGGGGGATCTGCCTCCCAAGGACATCAAGGGATGGCATAGTGGGCAGTTCCCATGAGGGCAGTCCTGGACAGTGGGTATGAACCAGTCTCCACCATCTTACTTGGGTCACTTCCAATTTCTGTTCTCTCCGAGTTAAATACTCTCAGAAATATGATAGGGCCCAAGCACCCATGGCTTGTTAGCTCAAAGTAAACCCCTGTCACATGGTGGGAAAGAGCCCACAGAGATTCCTTGGCTCTTTGGACCAGATTTTCAGCCTGGGCCTATTTCATCATCCCTGCAAGGTTGTCAGGGTTTAACAGAAGTCAAGAAGCCTTGCCTGTTGAGAAAAAACACTGTCACCGAAATCAGTTTGCTTTGATTCTCTCCCCTTTGCAACACAACCAGTGAAAAACCAGGCACGTTGGGTGCTGCAGTTTATCTCTGACATGGAAGAGTTGTTCCGAGTCACTAAGGATCCCTACTTCAGTGTCATCATCACAGACTACAGCAGCGATGACATGGATGTAGAGAAGGCTCTGAAAAGGTCTACTTTGCACAGGTGAGAGTCCTGCATGGTCACAGAGAACTACTCACACACGTGCATGCAAACACAACCTCTGGCAGTCTCTGTGTTGACCAGCCACAGCCTGCTGCAGCTGGAAAACCAGAGACAACATCATCCAGACCTTGCACATACACAGGAATATGTTTTTGTTATGACGTGCATACACATATTTGCATGGAACAGTGTTAAAAAGTGTAAGGCAATACCATGGAGTAGTCTTCCAGCCAAATTTGTTTAATTAGTCTCCTTTTCAAAACTGCAAGAGAGAAGAGAGAGCAAATCTCACAGTGATGGGGCAGGGGGAGGACAGAAAAGACAAGAAAGCTGTGGGAAGTGAGACAGAGAGCATGGAGACCTTTGCTGGAATGACCCTACTCTATTCTGAAACAGCCTTGGCTGGTCATTTCCTTTATGTGCCTGGGGTTTCCAGGTTTAGTTGTAGGAYAGAGCTGGGCTAGAGCTGAGAAGACTTTTGCTACACAAGGGACAAGGCTCTCAGGGTGTGCTGGGACCTGGAGCAGTGCTTGGCTTGTGCACTCCCCCAGCAAAGGCTTCCTCCTGATTCAGTGGGTGCACGGGGTGAGGGCAGCTCCATAGCCCAGCACTGGTGTAGTGCTGCCATTGGGGTTTCCTGTGCCACTGAACTTCCTTTCCCCTCTGACCCCCAGCTATCAGTACCTGAAGCTGACAGGGAATTTYGAGCGTTCTGCTGGGCTGCAGGCGGGGATAGACCTCGTAACGGTGAGTCTGGGGRGCCTTGGGGTGGGCAGGGAAGTTTATAATGTGTTCTGGTGCTGCCACTGCTTTTGGTACTGAATGTGGTATTTCACGCTCAACAGCCACTCAAGGGATGTTTTGCCAGCCCTTGGGATCTGAGTTTCTGATGCAATAATGAGATTTTGATTCCCATATCTCTGTCCTCCTGGCCCTCAAGAAAGACTCACTGAAAGTCAACCTATTCCTTTTCTAACCAGTATGATTGGTTCCAGGACCCACACAGCATTGTCTTCCTGTGTGACCTCCACATCCAYTTCCCAGCTGGAGTCATTGATTCCATCAGGAAGCACTGCGTGGAAGGCAAGATGGCATTTGCACCCATGGTCATGAGGCTGCACTGTGGGATGTCCCCACAGTGGCCTGATGGTAAGAGGGCTCAGATGTTGGGAAATGGGGCAGGAAGAGAGTGCCTGCCTCCTCTAGGTTTGTTCCTCTGGCATTGTCAGRGTCTGGAGCTTGAGGTACTTCCAGGTCCACAGGGTATGTGTTAGATGWAGGATAGGGTTCAACAGCATTAGGTATCTGGAATTTGAGATCAAAAAGCTAGCAGAGCCCTTTATCTGATGTTCTTCTGGCCATCTCCTAGGGCTCTTYATGGATTTAGGGACCTTGGAAAACCCTTCCTTTACTCCTTTCTGTCCATATCTCTCTTTTCTTAGGGGCACAGTCTGTCCTGAGAAGAGCTCGTAGACCAGGGGTGAGGGAAACCAACCCAAACTGGAGGAAGAAAAGTAGCATAGATCATTTTAGCACAGGATTTCCTTTAGACAGGGGTGGGCATCCTAAGCCACACAGGCASAGGGGCAGCACTGGGAAGCTGGGACAGTCCAGGAACTGTGTGCCAGATAGGAGATGTGAGAGGCTCTGCTAACAAGCTGACAGGACAGACCATGCTGTCCTTCCACAAGCCTTTCTCATTCCCAGAGCAGGCTGGCATGGTTGGCTCTGCCTTGGTGCTGAGTTTACTTCTGCTCTCAGCATTGTGCTAACAGTAGCTTGAGTCTCACTCTTCCAGCTCTGCTGGATCCCTCAATGGTTCAAAGCCCCAACATAGCTGTGCCTCTTTTGTGCTCTCCTCAGGCTACTGGGAGGTGAATGGGTTTGGTCTCCTGGGCATATACAAGTCTGACCTGGACAAAATTGGAGGCATGAACACAAAAGAGTTTCGGGACCGCTGGGGAGGAGAGGACTGGGAGCTCCTGGACAGGTAGGCATCTATTGTCATTGTTCATGTCCTCTGTAGGGGAAATGTGTCGAGTCCTGGAGAACCAATGACCATGGGAGTGAGGATCTAAGGAGATTGAGGTGACAACTGCCAYCATAACCTTGGTCAGTGAGGGAGAGTCTTTAAGCATGCCCTGACCAGCTTCGTAGGTGAAGAGACACAAAACAGTCTGCTGCAGCCACTAGTGAGAGAAGAATTATTTCCTGCTGCCTTCCAGCTCCACTGCTGGGTTRGTYTGATCTGCCTGTGCAGATCAGGCASTGGTGACCGTGGAGGCTTTGTCCTCTTCAAGCACTGCAGAGCACAGTCTGGGTCCTTCACATGTCCCGTATAACATTTAGCACTTGCCCCAAAGATGAACTGTTGGAGAGACATTTAAAGATCATGAAGTACAGTTACAATTTCTGAAAATTCTGTGATGAGTGATCTCTGCTGCACAAATCCTGGGCYTCTGGCTTYGTTGTTGTAGGGTTTGGGCCCTTTYCTGTCTCTTCTGTCAGCTGACTGCAATCCAGTGCTGCTAGCTGTCTTCCCTCCTATCTTGGCACATGGAGGCACTTCTGACCAGTCCTGCCCTCAAGGGTGCATGAACACTCAGGAAGTGTCATTAGATTCCTGCTTATGAATATGGGATACCCCTGAACTAAACCCCCAGTTTAGTTGCACTCTCTTGTCAAACAGTAAAACTTGAAAACGTTTTCATGGGGTTGAGTCCCTCATTATCTTTGTGACAACATTTTCCYTAAGTCTACTCTTCTTTCTGCCAGGATCTTACAGTCTGGGCTGGAAGTGGAGCGTCTCTCCCTGAGAAACTTTTTCCACTGGTTCCACTCAAAGCGGGGCATGTGGAACCGACGCCAGCTGAAGACACCGTAGCCTTCAACCCCAAAGTTGTTTGGCAGCACTGTCCACCRTCTCATCCAGATGTGCACTTTACTGGGGCACACAGCCGAGTGCCCAAACTCTTCCTCTGCCTCCAGAGCCCTGTGATGGGATGGCACAGCCAAGGAAGGGATGATCAGGCTAGCGGAGCAGGAGCTTCTCTTGTCAGCCATTGCACCCRAGATGTGGGATCCATGTGTGGCTGGGAAGGTGTGTGGGGGAGATGTCGACAAGTAAAGGACTCRTATTTCCTGCCATGCAGTCTGGTGRAAGGCACAGTGGGAGAGGTGCCGTGTTTCCTCTTGAGTCTTGCACCAAACAAACACAAATCCCCGCTAAGCCCAGAATGGTTTATCTAGAGCAATGTAGCTTCTCTTTCAATACTTGAATGAAAAAAAGAAAGAAACAACCCACAACCATCCCCATTTCCTCTCCTTCACCATCTCCAGTGTCCCTGATTTTGGACAGGAGACCAGAGACCAATATTGATCTGAGTTCTCTGATCAGTATTGCACCCACATGCCCACGCTGACTCAAGGAAATCTGGATTTGGAGGAGCTGATAGGCACTTTAGGCTGCTGGTGCTTAGAGGTTTCTCTGTGCTTTTCACTTTAGTCATTATGAAAAACTCTGTGTTCAGCAAATTATGGGCCATGGATGGAGATGCAAATACATTTCCCTTACAAGAATCATGTTTGCCTGTAGCTGGGTGAGCTGGGCAAGGGTGATGTTACAATTCCACCTGAATTATTGATCCACTGCCTGAGGGTAGTGGAGGGGCTACACAGAGAAGCTAAYAGGGCATCTCAGGAGGAACTTTGCAGCCTTATCTGACAGACGTGTGTTTGTCCTAACAATATCAGGGAAACCCTAGCAGGGAAGAAGTGGCACTATTTTATTAGTTGAAATATTGTGATTTGTCAGAAGAGGAGAGAGTCTTCTGCTTTCGAAATCCTGTACATTTATGCAGCATCTAAAAGTTAATTTAATAAGTTATGGCCTCATAGTTGTGTCTTGTCATAGTTTGACTCTTCTGTAAAGAGAACCATCATGGCTGTTGATGCTTCATCTCTGGAACAGCCCTGGGAGCTCTGGCCTGGTACAGAGGAGGTGGCCTCAGGTCTTGGCACATGCACTGGGTGTAACGAGCAGTGAGGACAGAAGAGGGTTGAGTGAATAAAAGGATGGGCAAACCCATGCTGTGACTGATGCAAGAACTGTGGAGAGAGCCCACAGCTGGCCTGATGCTACAGGGAAGTCTCATCCCCTAAATCTCCTGTTAATGTAAGGCAAGATTTTTTTTTTTTTTTACCCTGTAACCATTTCAGAAGACTGTATAACCCAGAAATCCCGGAAACACTCAGTGCTTTTCGCTGGCGCTTCAGTGTGCCCATACCATGCTGAAAAGGCTGCAAGAGAAAGGCTCTCAAGCTTGAGGAGAGAGTGTGACAAAAGGTGCTGTTCATGGTGCCCAGTTCTGTGGGGACTTGTTGAGGAGTGAGTAATGGATGTATGCAGAATACAAGCAATGCTGACACAGTACTAGATTTTTTTRCTCTCTGTTGATGGAGTAGATGCCAATTCAGAATAGGCATTCATTTATTGCTGGGTCTGTGGTGCTTGACAAGTCCATCAAGTTCCGCTATTGCAGTGAAGACTGAACATGCAAGTTCTGGCACGTGAGATAGAAATCTTGTCAAATCATCTGCTTGCGTCAGTCTGGGTTTTGTGACTGATGGATTTAGGAAAAGTCAGCCAGATACCAGAAAGTTCTGCTGTGCAGTGTGCAGCTGTGGTGAGAAGTAGACAGGAGATGGCTGTGTCTCTGAATCCATGGAGCCTTTGCCAGAATGGAGACACTGAATATCCCAGAAGAGGCAGCCTTTAGCCAGCTGCCCAAGCCAGAGTAGTCTTCCTATTGAGGGAAAATACCCACGCAGATGCTAAAACATTAAATCACTCCAGTTGGGATGAGAGGGAAGAGGCTGGCAACAGTCAACACTTAAAAAAAATTGTCTTTTTTATTTTTTTTTAAGTATTATAGGAGTTTGGGAGGCCAGAGCCCTTTGATGCAGTGTTGTAATAAGCCCTGTTTCTGCCTGGAATGTGCAGTGTCAGTCATGCTCTCAGTGCGTGTCAGAGCCTGTGCTTCCCTCAGACACAGGCACAGCTCCACGAGAGTGCAGGTGAGCTGCTTTCCAGGCTCCAGGACTGTGCCTCCCCAGCCTGTCCAGGCTGGCTCTGTCACGCAATCCCTGTGGAATGGGGAGAGGCTGTCAGGAGGGTGAGTGCTGGGACACAGAGAGGCGTTAGCAGAACCAGCTGTCTGGCCCCATCAAGCTGAGAACAGCATGGTGCCCACTTTGCAGATGAGCTGCTGGGTTTGGTGGCAGCCCATAAGTCAAACACGGGGAAAAAGAGTTATTGGTACCATGTGCTTTCACACCTGGCTATAGATGTGGTCTGCAGCACCTAAAGTTAGCAGCTGGCATTCATCTGCTGGCACTGGCAAGAATTCAGTGCATCCAGGAGGTAACTCACTTGGCTTAAATGACATGAGTAGCCCCTCTTCCCYGCCACAGAGRACAGTCAGCAAAGAGTGGACTGGASAGTAGGGTGCACCCCTCATTACAGCACTGCCAGCAGAATTTGAGGATTTTTTTCCCCCCATTTTTCAGCTGTGATTGTGTTCCTTCTTTCAGACCTTGTAGTCAAGGCCAGTGGTAAGCAGAACTACCTCGTGAGGACTCCTTGGTGGAGATGTAAGGAGTTACTTGTTTTCAGTCCAGTTTTCTGATGACCAGTGTTCCCCACTGTCAAAGCTGCCCTCTCAAATGTTCTTCCCTTTCAGTGGGAATTCTCAGTTGATATCCAAGCATTGCAATAGTAAACACAATTAATACTAATTGGCACTGGCTGGCAGCCTCCATGGAGGAGCTTGGAGAGCCCATGGGGACAAAAACTGCCTTCCAGCGTGCACGCTCAGAGACCTCACTGCAGGTTGTGGGGAAAGAAGGGGCTCCACGCTCCCCAGTTTACTGGCCAGCAGCAAACCTTGCTGGAGCACCACTGGGCTGCCCCTGTTCCAAAACAAGCTGCAGTTTTTCTCCTCAGGCAGAGTCACAGAGAGGGGGAGAGCAGGAAGCACAGCAGGARTGGATCCCTCAGCCACGCAGTGAAAGGACATGGCCAGGAAGCTGACTCCCCTCAACAGCTGGTCACATTTCTGTCACCAGGATCTTTTTAGGAAGCTGTGCGGGAGTTTCTGGCCTTCATGTGCATCCTGGCTGCTCCCTGCCTGGACAGCCAGAGGAAGTCAGCTGCATAGGATTTTCCTTGCATCAGGCCAGGAGCGAGCTGCTCCGGAAGCGCTCCGGCTGGGGAGATGATGGAYCGTGCCACAAAAGAGACCTTCCCCAGGGCAGGATGTGACCAGGCTGGGGAGTCTGGGCCATCAAGTGTGAGGTGCAGGGCAAGGGGGCACTGCCTGCAAATGTGACTGTGTSTTCAGGACCGAATTGTGGTGCTCAGGCTTGCTTTGCAGGTCAGCAAAGGGAATGAAGGAGGGCAGGCTTTCAATCTGAGCAGAGTATATTGTGTGAAAATTGTGATTTGCTTCATCATTGTCTTAATGTTTGCCTGGTACAAACATCTTCCTCATTGCCTACAAATGTCTGAAATTGATTGTTTTTTAGATACAGATGCCTTGTGTTAAAAATCTGAGTTGTACCTTTGAATTACATGCCTTAAAGTGTCTCTGTGCCTTCAAGATGACTCCTGGGCCACCTCTCTGATGGAGCTGGGGGATATACAGATTCTCCCTCATGTTTTATAAATACATTGTCTTCCTACAAGAGCTCTCTTCTCTCTGTGTGTTACTTGCACCTACATCATTATGCAGCAGGGATTAGAAACCAAGTGTTGCTCTTCTGTCTTTATTAAGTGAAAGCCTAGGCAATACCAGACAGACAGATCACACTCTGCCCAAGGCAGCAGGATTACTGCAGCAGGAGGTGGGTGGGAGATGCAGTGTGCTTGGTTAGACAAGCCCTGCCTTCAGTCCCCTCTAGGTCTGCAGGAAACGAGATGGCAACGCAAGAGTTGTTCTCCTGTCACCCTGTTTATCATGTGAAACAAGGTGGAAACAATGGACAAGTACACAGCCCAGCAAAGCAGAAGTGTGATGTGATGAGATTATGTGGGAAACAAAGTTGTCCTGGCAAGCAGAGGACAGCTCCTGGAGAAGACCACAGGTGAGAGCCTAGACCGAGCTCAGTACCTGGCACCACCTACGCAAATGGGAGGTCAGCTCTTTTACAGCAGTGGTGTATTTAGGTTCAATTTTGGCCTGTTTTCTTTGCAACTGTGCCTTACTTTGAGTATCAAAATCTTGGCAGCAATGGGAGTCAGACATGAAGAGGGGAAAAGGCAGCCAAGGTTGCTAATGAGTGTGATTTCACTAAGAATAAGAAATTATTCTTAAAAATAAGAAGAAATATATAAATTCTTTTTATAAATAAGAAGAAATTATTAATATTAAAGGTGATGGAGGGAAGGTTTTCCAGTGTGCTGCCAGTCTTTTGCTTGCCCTTGGGGTGAGTGTCAAGAAGCCCTTTCTGCTGGTGCAGGCCTCACATGCTACCACGCCCATTCTAGTTGCTCTCTGAAACAACGATGAAGTTAAGATCTGGTAATGAAATTCCCCTCACTGCTTCTTTCCCAGCTGAATCTTCTATTTTTCCCTCTTTACGTTCAGTCACCGTTGCTAATTGCTTTGCCTCCTGCTCCATGAAGCAATGAGTCCTAGGGTTTGGGATCTACACACAGCATGTGTCATTTTTTACCTTTCCAGGAACCCAGCCAGACAACAGAGTGGCTGAGAGCCCTTGGTTTGTGGTTTTGCTTTGCCTACAACTCATTTTGCTACCTCTAGAGTGAAGCATTTTTCTAGAGGAGGTGGGAGAAGAGGCTTCCCAGAAATGTCCACCCCTGTTTGCTGTCAGTCACAGGAGAGACTGAGGACCMACTTAAGCAGCAAACTCAAAGTCACCCCAAACCTGTCTTACCCCAGAAAAACTGGAAGACAAGTCTCTGCCTGTTTCACCAAACAGATACCAGACCATGCTCAGCTTTGCCACTCTAGGTTCTGGGAAATACATAACTGGTATTTTCCACCCTGGTCCTTTTAGGCAACTTTCCCTCAGCTCAAAAAAGCCACTGTCAGCTGCAGGTGCTAAGCTGATGCTGGCCCATGGCCTTACCCTCCACCTTCAGGGCCAAGATCATTCACACCCTCTCAGAAGAAGCACAGAGAAATTTGATTTTGTAAAGTCAAATACAGAATTCAAATGAAATCTGTTTCTAAGCATCCGACGCTCCCGGTAGCTCCTGAAAACCAGCGTGAGGATGCTTTTGTGACATTTTTCTCAACGGGGTGACAAGGATAGACAAAATGAAAAGTCCATACTAAACTCTGATTCTGGCAGTAGAATGGAAAAAAATCACTTAATAATCAAAAGAACATATAATTATTTAAATAGGTTTACATAGTGCTATTAAAATACCATTTTTTATCATGACTRTAAAGTTAAAAAATTTAGGATCAAAGATCTTTACTCTTTCATACAAATCTGGAAACTCATTAATTCAAAGGTATTTTTTTAAGGAAACAAATTGTTGTAATACAAGAGAATTCCCAGAGCTGTCAATATAAACCAAATACATTTAAAAATTTATATTAGTGATAAGACTTTAAATGATAATGGTAATTTTTTAATAAAGTAATACATTATGCAACTTTTCAACAATTTTTCATTGTGGCAATAAGCATAGACTGTCTCCTTGTGTATAATGTTTCTTCATTTTCTACTAAATATTGTCAGGCTATTCTGACATCATTCCTGATAGGTCCCTGATGATGACATCAGATCACAATAACTATTTTCTGTCTTTGTTAATATTCCAATGCTGGAAATACCTGATTGTTTTCTTAAACATGTCACATTTAAGTTTAAACAACTAGGAAAATATTTGAACTGATTCTAGCTGTCTTCATGTATAYATGCTGCTCTATCCTCCCAGGAAAGCTTATTTTTTAGTTTGAGAATTCCATTCCAACGTTTGGGAGGTAAACTATTAGATAGAATTGCTTTAGATGCATCAACTTATGTTTGAGACAAAAAATCAAAAAAAAAAAGCTGGACTTACTTACTTAGCCTACAAAGTAAATCATTCAGTCTTCTCTACCAAATGAGCCAATATTGAATATGTGAAGCAGGCAGCTAAAATAAGAAAAGAATTTACAGAATTGCACTTTTAAAGTGTGCACTGCTGCTGTTCCTGCACTTTTCTCTTGCAAAGTTTGCTYTAGCTTGGAAAGGCAATGTTCCCACCCCTCAGAACTGCAAAAGCATTACAGTAAGGGGCCAGGATACTGTGACACAGAGTTCTGAAGTTTAACCCAGTTTTCTGGATTCGTGGATGGGCTCCTGCTGACGTCAGTGGAAACGTGGAGGAGAGCTTTCCCTTTCAGCTGCGCTGCTCAGATCCTGCAGGGAAGACAAGAAATGCTGGTAAGGTCACYTCAGGCTCCTCTGTGCTGCATGGCCAGAGAGGAGCAGTCACAGCCACTGGGTCACTCAACAGCACAGCTGCCCCTCCATCAATGGGGTGATGCTTTTCAGTGTTTGCACCCTTCTGGATCCCAAACCAGCAGTGTTTCTGTAGAGGCTTTTGGCCTTTGCATCCTTCCTTACCGTAGCTGTGTGTTTACTGAGCTTTCCTGTTGGCTGTTGCCCTGGTATGTTGCATTTAAAATGTATTTTGCGATAATGTGAGAAATGTGAACTTTGCATCTTAGCTAAAGTGCTTTTGATCTAAGAACATGTCATTCCCTCACTGACAGGCCATTGGAATGAAACCATTTGGATGAACTCTTATTTACAGGGCTTCCATGGAAATGAGCTTAGATGCTTGTAACAGTCCCTTCACATTGGTGTGAAGAGCTCTTCCAGTCCCTTCCTTTTCTTCTGCTCAGAGTGTGCTGCCATCTTTGGATTCCTCCCAAAACACACCTTCCCCAAATTTAGCTCCCATCCACAACTGCTATTCATGTCTAGCATGAACTCTGCAGCCTTCCAAAAATCACTTGCTGCTGACAAATCCCAGCAGCTGGGATGTTTGGTATTCTTGCTTTAAAGACCAAGCAAGAACTCCTCCTGCTCTGAGGGAATTTGTTCAATGGCCGCAGGTTTTGTGGGACAGCAACAAGCCTCTGGAAAGGATTTGTTAATTTGGGCAGCTTTGAGACAGGGGCAGGCAGTGATGGGAACTCACCCTTTCTTACCTGAGTCCATTGCCCCATGAATTAATAAGGTCCAAAATTCCTGTTAGGGTAGAGGCCAGTCTTCTGCACCCCAAAGGCTGTGATGAAGATGTTGAGGATGACTGTGATGAAGATGAGAGCTGTGGCAGCGTTGTTGAGTATATTCAGGCGGGGTTGCTTTGCAATATCATTCAGGTTCAAACGAGCTGTGCGACACAATGCAAAAAGAGAGGGCACTTTGCAGAATGACTCCAAGTGCCCCAACTCCTGCAAGGCTCCCCTGCCTGGTGAATGTCTGTGGTGCCCCTGGGCACTGAGGCCACAGAGCAGAGGGAATAGTCCCAGGAATTTTACAGGAGCCACAGCTTGCTCTAGGATGATATGGAAGGATGGAGCAGAACACAAAAAACATCTTTTTTATGTTATGTCTTTATTTTGCCATGGAGCTGTTGTGGCCTTTCAATGTGTCAACTCTAAATAGGCAAGGCCCTGCTGCACACTGGGACATGGTGAAGGGAGGCTGTGGGGCATGGGAGACAAGGGCAGCAATGGGATTAGGAGGCCAGTTCCTCCTTGGCACCCAGCTGTCACCTATGTGCTGACACAGCTATCAGCCCCGGTACATGAATGGGGTCAGCCCTGGCTGATGGACACCGATCCCTTCAGACACAGGAATACCCTGGCTACCAGGGCTGTCTGGCCAATAAGCCACGCAAACACCCTTGTCCCCTTTCTCCTCACAGCTGCCACCAGGAAAAGCTGTGGCATGTGTCACAGGGGAAGGAACATGTCACAGATTTCCCATAGCCTCCCATCCTCTTTCCCACATTAAAAACCCACCTAGGGTATAAAGGAAAGTGTTCTACAGGGTTTTACTGCTGGGCCTATGTTGGAGGCTGAAATACACTAACTCTTGTTTCAGATAGAGCACTGATCARGGTCAAAGGTTGATGTTAATGTACTGTCTGTAGGGCATTAGGAGGACTGTGGGATTRGTTAAATGTGAGGTTAATACAGGGAATAACTCTGCCTAAATTGTTCTGTTGAGTCCCAGGTGAAGTAAGATGTAAAATACGGCTAAAATGTAGCATCTGCAAGAGCAGCATGAAGTAGCACATTACAGTAGGGTCAGCAAGAGGTCCATSTTGGCCAAGCCCTAGTTCTTTCACTAGGCCAGAGAGTCAGCAGTGGGAAAGTGAAGGAAGAGTTGTGCTCAGAGACGTGCAAACAGAAAACAACCCACCCACCGTTTTGAAAAGCTGACCTCCCTACAACCCCCACCAAGCTGCCTTYAACCTCCCACAGCCCTGGATAGAGCCAGAGGGGGAGTGGTTTYGGGGAAGAGGCTTTTCCCTTCCACCCCCATGCCAGCCAAACCATGGGGTACCCAGCTCCTGCAGCACCCTGCGAGGGTGCACACGCCGTGGTGGCCACCTTACCAGTGATGATAAGGAGAATCCCAATCAACACCTGGAAGAACAGGGAGATGCTGATGAGCACAATGAGGGTGGCATAGTACTGGAAGGATGTGCCTTGCTCCAGCACAGCCTTGAGCTGGGTGACGTTGGCCATGAAGAGMGCCACATCCAGCATGCTCTCTGCCACGCTCTTCTTGGTCGCGTAGTGGTTGATGTTCATCGGTCCGTTGATCCGGAGGTGAGGATTCACGCCCTGGGGAAACAGGGAATCACATCAATGGCTAAACCAACAGGGGGAATCACACCAATGGTTAAACCAACAGGGAGAATCACATCAATGGCTAAACCAACAGGGAGAATCACATCAATGGCTAAACCAACAGGGAGAATCACACCAATGGCTAAACCAACAGACACCTGTGTTCAGTGGGACGCTGGCTCCTCACTGGGGTTTATCTAGAAAGCCTGGGAAAGAGTCAATTTGCATGTTTTAGACATGCTGAGAGTACCCAGTTTCCCCTCGCAGTCGCCTCTTGGTAGTGATAGGCACGAGATACTTGCAGTGATCAAGAGCTCAGCAAGGTTAAAAAAATAGTGGGTGTTTTTGTGGAAAACAAGCTTGTTCAGAGTTACAATAATGTAGATTATCCAAAAGCCAGGGATTTTGCAAGGAATATTAAATTGTCTTCTTTCAGGACATAGAAAAGCCTCAAATTTACAGGGGATTAGAGAGAGATCTTCTCTTTGGGTTGGGTGTTGTTTTTAATATCATTTCCAATGATCTGGGTGAGAGGATGGAGTGCACCATCAGTTTGCAGGTGGCACCAAGCTGGGTGGGATTGTTGGCCTGCTGGGGATGGAAAGGCTCTGCAGGGGGATCTGCAAGGGCTGGATCAACAGGCTGAGSCCACTTGTGTGAGATGAAGAGCTGGGTCCTGCACCTGGGTCACAACAACTCCGTGAAGCGCTAAACACTTRGGGAAGAGAGGCTGGAAAGCTGCCTGGTGGAAAAGGACCTGGAGATACTGGCTGAACATGAGCCATCAGTGTGCCCTGGTGGCCAGGAAGGCCAATGGCGTCCTGGCCTGTGTCAGGAATAATAGTGTGGCCAGCAGGATCAGGGATGGGATCATCCACCTGCACTCAGCATTGGTGAGGCTGCACCTCAAATYCTGAGTTCAGTTTCTGTCCCTTCACAATCAAGAAGGTCATTGAGGTGCTGGAGGAATTCCAGAGAGGGGCAATGGAGCTCGTGAAGGGTCTGGGAGAGTAAGTCATCCGAGGAACAGCTGAGGGAGCTGGGGGTGTTCAGCCTGGAGAAGAGGARGCTTGGGAGGGGCCTTGCTGGTCACTACAACTCCCTGAAAGGAGGGCGTAGTCAGGTGGGGGTTGGTCTCTTCTCCCAAGTAACAAACAATAGGACAAGAAGAAATGGCTTTGAGTGGCACCAGGGGAGGTTTGAATTGGATACTTGGCAAAATCTTTCTTCAGCCAAAGGCTTGTCAGTCATTGGAACAGGCTGCCCAGGGAAATGGGTGGGTCACCATTCCTGGGGGAATTCAAAAGATGTGCAGATGTGGCACTTAGGGACAYGGTTTAGTTGTGGCCTTGGCAGTATTAGGTTAATGACTGGATTTGATGATCTTAAAAGTCTTTTTCAGCATAAACAATTCTATTATTCTATGACTGTCAGTGGCTGGGCTTTGTTACTCCTCTGAACAATTTTTGCTGGTCTCTGTCTTAGACTACATGCTAGAGCAGATGGAAAAATCCATGGTTTTGTTTCTGAAACCAAGGGCAATATTTCTTCAAAATATCAGGCACTGAAATGCAACAAGGCAAAGGATGGAATCCATCTCACCTAACCTTAATTAACCATTTAGGTACAWTTTTTTGGCAGCAGAAAGAAACAGCTGTTTACAAGAGCCAAATCACCTGGTTGCCCTTAAAYTAATTGCAAGGTGTAGGTAATTTGGCTGCTTTTAGCCGTCCATTGTTAAGTGGTTCACCTGTTGCTGTCTTGAACTAAGTGATGTTAAAAAAAAAAAAAGTTAGAAAAGTGGCTAATAGTTTTTCATTTACCCAGAGTGTCATAAGCTGGTCATAAACCAACARCAAAGGCAACAGCTGCAGAAGATTTGGATGTATTTGCACTAAGCTATTCTGTTCCTTGCTAAAAAGAAAAAACAAAAAACTTTTCCACATAGATGGGTAACACTTTAAAATCAGGGGTAAGGCCCAGCCTGGGCCTCTTTAGCAGGGGAAGGAGTAATTTCTTCAGGTGCATACTGGAAGTGCCTGCATCAAATAGTAAGTCCTATTTAGTTCTTTTCTAGTAGAAAATGTAATTTTTCCTCTGTGCTTCAAGCAGGTCATTAGGGAAGGGTCATGGTTCATGTGTTTTGCTGTGGCCTTGGGTCTCTTTGTGTCACCCTGGACAAGAGTGGCTTTCTTTGTGCTGGGAGAGCATGAACAAAGCCAGGGATCCAGGGAGAACAGTGTATGTGGGGATGTGTCTGACACTGAAATTGGGGCTGAATTTTGGAAAGGGGTTATGGCCCTGGTTTAATATTCACCTGATGTGACGAGGACATGTATGAAAAAGTGAGTGGGAAAGGCTGCATCTGTTTTGAACTGTTGGTGAGCTGTGATCCCTAAGAAGGGGTTAGCAAGGGGTGGGAAAGGGCTTTTGGTTTGTTTGGGTTTTTTTAATGTGGTAGCTTAAAGCATGTAATTCTTGCAGGTTCTGACAGTGACATTACTGTGGTTACGTGGCTCCTTTGCAAAGCCTGTATTTCTTGCTGTGAAAGGGAGAAGGTGAAAGATGCTGGAAGGAGGTAAAAGTAGAAGTCTAAAGAACTGGTAAAAAGGCAGTGTGTAGGTGTTCAAGACTTAAACATTACAGTSTAGTGTCAGGGGCAGAATAGAGGCATCTTGAGGAAAGAAGGACAGCAAAAGGTCAGGTTCTGTGAACACATTTTGAATACCTGTACCGAGGGACTGCTCCCTCTCAGATGGCTTAAAAACATGTGATCCTTTTGAAGCAGAGAGGAACCAATACCAAATGGTATAAGGTTGGCAGCTTGATCCCTCTCATGTGCTGTTTTCCTTATTCCTGAAGAATCAGCCCCVCTCCCTGCAGCATCACAAGGCTGAGCATTGATAGTTTATCTCTGTGTAATGATGAGTTAAGGGTGTGAGAACAAGGGCGCTGTACAAACAGGGCAGAGCTGTTGTTATATGAGTGACTGGTACCAGGAGGCTGAGACATCTGTTTCTGGTTGCTTACGTGGAGAAAAATAAAGCAAGTCAGGAGCTCTTGCTGAATGAAAACACGTCCTTCTTTGGAGCTGCCCTCATGTTCCTTTACCRGGAGTGTGAAATGGGGCAGAGTTGCAACATCCTGAGCTCTGTGTCCCAGATGATCAGGCAGTGAAAATAGAGGGCTTTGACGTGGGCTTTTCTCACATGGATGAGTGTGATGGCATGTTCCCATCTGGGGTATGGAAATGTGGGCAAGTACTGCTCTCCCGTGTGGAGTAACTGGAGTGGGAAACCTTCACAGTGGAAAAGGTGTGACTCCAGATTCAAAGTTCTGTGAGTCCAGGCAGATCCAGAAGCCTTTCCAGAAGGACAATGGATGGTTAAAGTTGAACACTAAATTTGAGTTTGGGTATCTTAAGATCTGTGATGGATGGGCCCTAAATGCCCAGCTGGCTGCACTCTCCTTGCAGGGAGTTGCAGAGAGCGATGAGGTCCCTCCTGAATCTCCTCCTCTCCAGGCTGAGCACYCCCAGCTCCTCAGCCACTCCTGCTCAGACTTGTGCTCCAGTCCTTTCACCACCTTAGTGGCCCTTCTCTTGACACAACCCAGCACATGGCACCCAGCTCCTTATGGTCCAAGGAAAAGTTAGAGAGATCCAGGTTTTTGATGGATTTGGCCCTCAGTGTTTCATCTAGTCCAGCAGCTATGAGTGGAACACTCAAAAGGAGAGGCTTAAACAAACCAGGAGTCTTCAGAGACCTGGCATTTGGATTAATGCYGGAGGATGGATTTCCTTGGGGTGCCTGTGCCATAACTGTCTCCAAACAGTGTGCCATAACTGTGCCAAACAGTGAGCCGCTGTTTGTGGGGTGTGAATGCATGGCTGTGATGCTTTTTTTGAGCTGCCAGAATGCACGCACAACTTTCCAAAGACCAATTCTGCTTTGGCTTTCTTTAAAGTTCAGTCCTGTGAACTGCTGCAGCTCAGGAGCTGATTCACAAGCAACTTGGATTTCCCTGTAGGAGGCTTGCCCAGACAGCTGTGGGAGGTTATGTGGTATCACTGAGGAGATTAAATGATTCCATTTTGGCCAACAGAGCCCTAAGTCAAGACACACCTGAAGACTCATCAAAGTGATTTATGTCATCAGGGTAGAGCTGTTGACTTTCTAGTCACTTTGAAAGGGTTCCCCTTAGGAAAGTGGAGATTATTGTTTTTTCTTCTCTGTAGTGTGTCAAAGAGCTGGATCTGGCAGTCAGACACCCAGCTCATCTTAAAAGTGTTGTTGCAGAGCCAGCAGGTCTGCTGGAAACAGCACTGTCCCAAGAGGGGCTCCATCACTGTTGCCCACTCTCTAAGAGTAGGGAAATTAGGACATGAAAAATTCCATCCTGGCCATACAATGATGGTAGATGAACTGGTGCTGGAACTACTTCCCTGTGTCCCATTTCTGGATTTTTTTTTTTCATATGAGACAACTTCTTTCCCTGCAAACACTCTGCTGGCTTCGGTCTGACCTCAGGCAAATTCCCTTTCCTTTTTCTCCTGAATAAATGTGGCACACCAACACAGATCACCTCAGGGACTGAGTGAGGCACCCATGTATGTTTTCTAAGTCAGAAGCTTAATTCTTACTCAAAGTGTGCACATGCACAAAAATATTTAACACCCACTGTTATTTTTTTTTTGTTAATTTTTGTAGGAATTCCTATAGAAAGAATGATGAATGTCACTGTAAGTGGTGATGAGAAAAGAATGGACTTTTTTTTAAAATTTCTTTTTAAACTTGACCTCTGGTTTTGCTGTATGGAGCTTTCAGGTCCCTGGGCCTCTGAAACCAGGGAATGCTGAGCTCCATGGCCACTGCAACTACCTGAAAAATTTCCATAAAATTATTTTTTAAGAGAAATTCTTCAGGGTTTTCATGTTTTTATTTTTACTAGAAATAGCTACTTTCTTCCACAAACTTTTGGGGGAGTTTCATCTA